CTATTATTACTATTATTATTATTATTACTATTATTGATCACAGGGCCTTAATCGCGATGCCTCCCCCACTCCATCGCCACCCTTCGATTGCACATGCATGGTCTCCATCGCTGGAAGAGCTTCGAGCGACGAGGGCTGAATCCAATTGCGAGAAGCTTCTGCCGACCTCCGATCACCAATGTGACAACTCAAAAATTATTTTCCTAAATTCTATTTAATAAATCTCAAAATGACTATTTTTACTCCTTCGAAATATGTTTTTTTAAAAATCGGTGTATGAATTAAATATTTTAAACCGTGATTTTAAACCAATTCAACACCAAGAAGTAGTCTATTTCGAAAAATCCTAAATTTCGAGTATATCTATGTACCAAGTTTTGACCCAAAAAGTCAATCTGAGTGAAACCTGAGAGTAACCTGTGAAACCTGAACCAAATGTTTTAATGAGAAACTATCTTATAGAAAATCTATTTTTGACCCCAAAGTTGTGTAAATTATTTTTAATGCCTTAGCTTGTGAAAGGAGAAGTCTGATGAAATTTTCAAGCCTTTTTACCCTTTTGCCCTCCTTAGCCAATGATTTGTCACCTAGGGTTTTGCACCCATATAAATAGAACAGTATTCTCTTTGTTTATCCTGATCCCCTCCATTTTGCCTCTTCACTCCAAGCTTTAGAAATCAGTTAGTAGAGAGAAGAAATCACAGTAAGTGTTCTGCCTTCCTCTTCTCCATTCATTCATTTCATTTTATAGACTTTTCATTCTCTGCATCCCAATCTCTGAGTGTGTGTATGTTTGTTTGAGGAAAATAGGTGGTGAAGGTGGTAACCTCTGAAGAAGAAAGGAAGGGGATCCACACTAGAGGAGGCCAAGTTCAAGGTATAAACCATAGATTCCCAAAACTAAGATTTTTAGTCTGTGAAATGCTAGAATATTGAGATTAAATGTTTAGAAATGTTAGAAGATGCTCGTTGTTGAGTCATTTGTGTATTGTTGATGTTATATGATTGATTTATTGAGGTCTGAAAGCATTTACTTGAGCTCTGTGTTGAAATTTTAGAGATGAATGTCTCTAGTGCACCAGAGTGGTCTTGCGGCCCTCGCCAACGGATCTAGGAGAGATCCGCTGGCTAGGACTGTGGTCCAACGGACCAGGGTGACGGATCACAGCAAGATCCGTCACCCAAGGCCGCTGCTTGGCGGAGCCAAGTGGCGGGGCTTCTCAAGCCCCGTCACCAAGCTCCGCCAGGCCAAGTTCAAGAAGGTCGGGCCCTCTGAGACTCAGCCATGTGTTGTTTCGGACCGAGATTCGTGGGCCCTTGAGGCTCGGACACTCAGGCTCGTTACGACACGCTAGTATGAGTTGTTCTTGTTTGATTTTGGGTTAGAAGCATATCTAGCAGACAAAGGAGAAATTGCCTACTGTGTATTTGTTTGGCTTTGAGTTTTATATCTGTGAAGGAGTTTGGAGTTTGTTGCATCTGATATCAAGAACATTTGAGTAGTTGTGTTATTTGCCTTGTTTAATCCTTGAATAGATGAATTACTGAGTTATTGAATTTATTTGCATAAAGCATTATATTTCCAAACTTTACAGTAAAAGAGCATGTTGGCATATTTCAAAGCTTAAGTACAATGAAGGCTCTAAGTAAAGCCTAAGTCATATTTCAAAACCTTATATCTACTTTGGAAAATCTATATCTTTTGCATTGAAAATTTTGCATGATAAATTGATTTCCAAAATGTGAAAGAGAAGTGATATGAGTTGTATTTGTACATTGAGAAGCTTGCATAATATTGAGATTATTTGCATGATGAAAGAAGTTGCATGAGATATATATGTTATCTATATAAGTAAGGAAAATCCATGTTTTGGAGGCCCCGTTAGGACTATGTCCTTTCGGAAGAAAAGAGAAAGAAAGAAATTTGAGAAAAGAAAGAAACGGTCACAGAGGACCGAAAGTTGATTATGAAGTAACTTGGTCGATATTCCCGAGCTGCTAGGTTGGATACTAACCGCCGGACTTAGAATCCCGGTTAGGGGGTGTGCACACTGACAAGTACGATACCTGATTCCACAGAGATTTTATAAAAACCATGAGTACCGGTTCTGTGGGCGAGATGAGTATTAGGCCGGCTAAATACCGATCCCGGATAGATCCATTCACGATGTGTGAAGTTCCTACCTCGCCCGCGAGTTCAGAAAGAAAGCAAGAAAGAAGAAAGAAGAGAAAAGTGAGTCAAGAGACTCAACAGAGATCCTCCACAGAAAAATGTTCCTTTTTATATAAAGAGCGAGATTATATCTATATATTTATAGCATCATATCCTTACTTGTATCATGACACAGCATATGTTTCATTTAGAGCATTTGAGAAGTACAGTTTTAACATTGTTTATGTGTTAGCATGGAAGCATGATCTTACTTGTTAAATTTCAGTTATTTCTTTATCTATCAGTATGAGTTATGAGTTAAAGCATGTTTATATGAGTTATAGGTTGCGAGCATATAGAAGTGTTTAAGCATATCTATTGAGATTTGTGGCTAAGTATCATAACTGTTTATATTCATACTTGAGATTGTGTGTGAATGCAAAATGTTTTTCAACCTATACCTATAGTACTTTATAGCGTTGAGTGGCTTTATACTTAGCATTAATTTGCTAACGAGTTTATTTTCTTACTTGTTTTATAACCCCTTTCAGGTGGGCCCAGTACTTGAGAGCGCACGATGATAGTTTAGTGCTTAGCTTTAATGTGGTAGTTACTAGATTAGTATTTCTACCTTTAGTAGTACTTTTGACAGTTGTAGTTTGAACTACCTTTTGTTGGTGGTAGACACCGGGGTTTGTTCCCCACGTTATGATATTTAGTAGAGCTTTTGACTCTAGTTGTGATAGATGTTTTGTAGCCTGTGCAGTTACCGTGAATGGTGACTGTGGCGGTGACACCCTTTTAGTTTATCGTATGGTTGGTTATTTAGTTATCTAAGTTTTACTTATTCATCTTAATTAAGCTTGTTCATCGGGATTTAGTTTTTTAAAAAAGGGGGCGTTACAATCAAATCGAGGATGGCCATCACCATGAGCGGAAGATTAGGGGTAAAATAGGAAATAGGAAGTCAGTTCGTAGTGCTTGGTGGTTCTAATTTGTGCCTGGAATTTCTTGAGTAGTGGATTGCTCTAAAGATGAAATGATGTGCGGATGTGACTTTTTTGTTATTTGTTGGTGGATCTTTATTGTGAAATTGGGTTGAGCTATAGGGCTTGTTTGACAATCAACAGTTAGCGGTTAGCGGTAGCGGATTGTATTAGCAGTTAACAAATAGCGGATTGTGTTAGCGAATTTGACAAGCGGATTGTATCAGCGATTTGTAAAAAAATATTTGATAAAATTAGCGATTTAGATTAGCGGTTAGCATGTAAAATAACCAAAAGGTATAATAATAATAATAATAATAATAATAATAATAATAATAATAATAATAATAATAATAATAATAACAAAAAGTAAAAACAAAAACAAAACAAAAACAAAAAAAAAAAAAACAAAACAAAAATAAAAACAAAGAAGATGTGGGATTAGAATCCCACTAATCCCACATCGAAAGAAATTTTTTTAAAAAAAAAAAAAGAAAAAAAAAAAAGGGACATTGGCTCCCTTATAAAAAGGAGCTCAACGCCCCTTTAGATTAATTTGCCTCTTGCTCATCTCACATTAGATGGACAAGAGTGAAAAAGTCTGAGGCTTCTTTATTTAAAGAACCCTAAATCTTCTTTATTTAAAGAAGCCTCAGGCTTCAAAACGCAACATATATATATATATATATATATATATATATATATATATATATATATATATATATATATATATATATATATATTGGAGGGTGTTTTGGGGAAGGAATTTTCCTTCCCCAAAATGTCAACCCAACACGCTGCTAAATGCAGCGTGTTGCATTTCAGCGGTTTGGAGCAATTCGTTGCTCCAAACCGCTGTTTACCAAATAATGGTTTTGGCGTTTTGACCATGGTCAAAACGTCAAAGTTGGTGGATCCGCTAAAATTTTGGCGGATCTGCCAATAACCAAACATGTCCATAGTGAATTAGATTACATCATTGGAGTGAGTTGTGGTGGTGGTCGTGGTCGTGGCGGTGGCGGTGAAGTAGAAAGTAATTTTTTTTTTTTTGAAAAAAAAATAAATTTAATTAGGGGTAAAATAGGAAATAACAACTTTAGGTTATTCTTGAGAACTCAAGAATAACCTACCCCTTGCAAGGGGTATAGGTCATTCCCAGGAACAATGTTCCTAGAATAGATGTTTTTATCAAACAAAAGAAGTGAAAATGCTATTTCATTCCAGGCCTATTCCACGAACCAAACGTGTCATAAGTGGTCTCTTGACTATTGTTCTTTTACAAATTTGGTCCTCTAGTTAAATATCATTTTAATAAACATTTAAGTTTAAGAATATGGTCTAATGGTATTCAGGTTGAATTTCCATTTGGAAGATTATGAGTTTGAGCCTTAGTGGAGGCGTTATTGGTTCTTTGTTTTAGTAGGTTGAGAAAGTATATGAACAAATACTACAATGTAATAGAGCCAGTAGCTTTCAAAAAAAAAATTTAAGAATAATAATATACAAATTTTAATTCTTCACAATGATGAACTCAATGTATTAAATTTATAAATTCAATTTGTCCATCTCAACAAGCAGCAAATTTTCACATTATTATTCCTAAATTTAATATTTATTAAATGGATATTTTACTAAAGGACCAAATTTGAAACAAAATCAATAGTAAAGGGACCATTTAGGGTCATATTGAAAGTCGAGGCCGAATATTGGTAAAGATCAATAGTTAAGAGACCATTTATGATCCAATTAAAAGTTAAAGGCTAAAAATTAGTAAATGTCAATAGTCAAGGACCATTCCTAAAATTACCTCTTTAATAAAGTTTAGGTGATAAAAATTAAAAAAAAAAAAAAAAAAAAAAAAAAAAAAAAAAAAGATATATTACATTTAGCAACTTATTTAGTATATTCAGGGAGTAGATGCCAACCAGGAAATCTAGCATCTTAATCAGTAGTCCTTTCATTCTATTCTATAGTAATATATATACTATATTCCTATTCCAACCCAAACTTCAATCAAATAACATTGCTACCTTGTCTTTGAGACTGCTTTTTTTCTTTGCCAATGGACCTGGAAGATCCTTGAAATCAACATTTCGATTTGAACTTTTAAGGTCACGATCATAACCAAAATATATGTCGTCTCTAACTACTTCAACATCCTTTTCTTCTTGAGTTTTCTTTAATAGAGGTCCCAAAAACAAATTCAACATATCTTGTGTGGGACTTCCTGTGATGTTTGGTTTAGGAAGAGCCTCACTGCTTGATGTATCCTTAGATGATATACTGCCTTTTAAGATGATTGGGCCTGCAGATATATCAGTATCTCGAAGTGGGATTGCCGCTGTGCTTTCTCTGGGTGACAACATATTTTGATCACCTTTGCATTCTTCATTGACACACTACAAGGGAGGGGGGATTTGAGAAATTGTATTCTAGCAATATAACTCTCTATAAGTCTATATTAATTAGAAGATTAAAGGACTACTCTTCTATCAAAGTAAATAGAATAGAAATATCAAAACATACCTCTTTGGCAAGAGTCAACAGATCATCAACGGTCAGATCTTCATCGTCACTGGCATACTGCCAAAACATGGAAGTAAATGTCTGAGATTCCTAATACTATCAAATAGAATCGGGCGTTTTAAATCTTAACGTAAGATTGACATAAAGCAAATCACCTCCTCAGCAGTGTTCATTAAGTCTTGAACACTAAAATCCTCATTATCTTCAATTTGTGGCAAGTCTTCATTTTTATCAGTGATCTCAAACGCAGAGCTCTTTGCTTTTGTTTTTTGTCTTCTCAAAGGAGGCTCAGCTTCATCAATGTTTTTTGCTACTCCAGACTGCTTCCTCATCTCAAAGTCACTCTCATAATTACAATTGTTATCTTCTAGGCTTACCTTTCTCCTGCTTCTCTGTGTTGTTTCACATCTTTCAAGCAAACACGACTCCTCCTTCAGGTCTTTCATATTATGCCTTGCCCTCGTACGTTTTGTTCCAGTCTGTCTCTGTCTGGACTTTAAGTCTGATGCAGATTCACAAGTGCTCACATCTCTACTTCTGGTTTCTTTCTCCACCACCTTTCCATCTATATGCTCACCACACTTTGTGTATTTAGTTTTGGATTTCTTCTTCACTCTCTCCTCTCCACTTTCACCATTGCTTGCATCTCTAGTTCTTGATTTTTTCTTTACCTGACCATCCTTTAGATCTTTTATTATTTTGGATTTTTTTGTAACCTCCACCTCCTCTACATTTTCACCGTTACTGATATCTTGAGTTTCGGATTTCTTTTTCCCATGACCAGCAGCAGGCATACAAACCATCCATTCCGGCAACCGTCTTTTCATATCCATTTCTTTCTTGATTGCTTTGACAGAATTTACATCCAGAACTACTGTTTTCCCATTAAAGGCCCCAAGTGCTTATCCTACAAAAAGTAAGCATAAGATTTAGTTACCTTCACACATTAAGTTGACTGAAAGGAACTGTAAACATTCACAAGTACCATAATTTTGTTCTAACTCATGAGAATGTAAGCATCAGAAATGCAATCAAGACAATCAACTGGAATGTACTGTTTAACCTACGAAACAATGAAAGACAGAAACACCTATAGATAGACAAGAAGAAATCAACTATAGGAACAACCATACAAAGAAACTTTAAGAAGTTTCTGAAATGCTTCCATATAAAGATATTCAGGTTTTACTTTCACATGCTACTGAATTCAAATGTTCACATTAGGGATTGATCGTACAGAGAGTAAAAGAAGATATTTTGAAAGATCAACTCGCCACATTGGGCAATGCAAATCAATATCAGCTTGATTAAGGGTACTAATCTAATCCCTAATAATCATCACTACATTTTCTCACAACCCAAACAGCCAAACAGCAGATTAATCCAACAAGGGCAAGAGACAATTGACACCAGACTTAAAAGAGTATGAATTTCAACAATGATTACTAATAACAAAGCCAAACCAAGATAAATATTTAAAAACTATAGTAGTTTTTTGTGTAGTACACATAATAGTATAATACATACATTTCTTGTTTCAACATCCTGAAATTCTATTCATTTTAACATTTTTTCTTTCCTTTTTTTTTCTTCCTTTCTTTCACAATTTCAACTACTCAAATTTTTGGGGTATCCTCAACTCATCCCCCAAACAATCAATTCAACAAGGGCAAGAGGCATTTGACACCAGAGTTGGGCACAAATGCTTAAAAATGGTTACTGATAGAACACAATTAAACCAAGAGAAATATCTAAAAACTGTAGTAGTTGTTTGCCTTGTCCAAATGATGCATCTTTCTTTTAGTCTCCAGAAATTTCTATTGATTAAAAATTTCAAGATTTTTTTTCAAAACTCCAACTCAGTTTTTGGGATTATCCTCACCTCCTCCCAACATGATATACTTTAAAGAGAATAGCACTTATCCAATGTGAAAAAAATTATAACTGTACAGGAGCTGATTTTCATATTTCAAATATTATAATGAAGCAAGTCTAAATTGTCAGTTGTTATTCAGTACTCCTGGAGTGGAGAACTGGAGATTACTGCAAGCACTGCACTCTTGTGTCATCCCCCCTCCCCTTCTAAGTCTCTCCAACACTTCAAGTCCATTTTTATTAGCTTTCAGGTAGAATTTGGAGGCACATTTTGATTTCCGTTGAATTGCAATGAACTTGCAACTTTGATTACAATTTTTTTTTTTTTTAAAAAAAAAAAAAACATAAATTTCATTTTAAAATGAACATCAAGTCAAATAAAAAGAATAATTCAAACTCAGAATTAACATATATACTTTTATACAGTTTAACAAAAATGGGCAAGCAGAAAGAAAAAATATACTACATGAAGTTTGATTCAGATGAATACAAAACATTACACATGATGACCATAGTTCAAAATAAGCATACCATTCAACTGAAATGTTGAAAATAATTGAAATGATTAACCATGCTTGGTAACAAAGAAGCACGGAATATTTTGCTGTGAATTTTCATTAGCATAATCTCCAATTGTTATACCATGGACCAGGGTTCATATTCCATTGATCCAAAAATTGTGTGTGAAGTTAACCAATTATGGGACCTGTAAACAAATTGAAGGATCATATCATGGTAATTACAGAGACAACATAAATTGTTAACTGCAAAATATGTTAACTACATACACATAAGATGTTGGTTAACATGTTATGCGTTTGGAGTTAACATATTTTGTACAATGCAGATGACGGTTTATATGTATGCAGTTATCATGTTATGTGTCTATCATATCTGATGTGCCTTCAATTTATTTAAAGGTACAACCACAGTTAAATGCAAATACAGAATTTGAAGGTTATTAGGTCCAAAATGCAAGGTACACATTGATCCATGATATAATTTGCCCATAATCTCAAAGTAGGCCCTAAAGCACTTAATTTGTCTACGCTTCTACTTGTAGATGCTAATAATAATCTACAGTAAAAGAAATGTAGATACATTATACCAGGTAATTTAAGAGGGAAAGAGATAGAAGAGAGCTTACAGACAGCAGGAGAAGAGGAGAATGAAGAGAGAAGCGTAATTTCGGGCATAGCTCTAGACACTCTCGTGGATTTGAGGCCGAGTTGGGGCGGGGACGACGGGAACTCCTAGGGCAGACATGATTATCAAATGAGGGAGCGACGCCGGAGAAGTTGGAGGCGAACTTGAAGAAACGATTGCTTGTGAATGCACAGACAGGGTTCCGACGAACGAAATTAACGATGTCAAAACTCCGATAGATGCTTAGACGGTGATCAAAGAGATGGCGGAAAGCCGGAAATGTACAGAAGTCTTGACGGCGGGGAAAATTATATAAAGGGAAATGTTTTCCACCTTATAAGTAAAAACTTGAGTAAATACCTAAAATGGTCCCTCGACTATAGCTAAATTCACAAATTGGTTCTCGACTTTCAATTTGAATCAATTAAGTCTTTAACTTTGTAATTTTGACACGATTTGATCCTCCATCTATTTGACCATTTGTTGACCGTGATCGACGATCTCCAGAAGAACCTTCAGCTCTCGTCGGAGCACGTGGTGGCCTCCAGGATGACGTTGCACCGGTTCGGAAACACGTCGTCTACTTCGCTCTGGTACGAACTCAACTACATTAAATCGAAAGAGATGATGAAAAAATGCGACCGGATTTGGTAGATTGCTTTCGGTAGTGGATTCAAATTTAACAGTGCGGTCTGAAAATGCAACCGAAACCTTAAAAACCCGACGATGGACCATGAAATTACATATATATCCTAAAAAATCATAGTCAACAAACAGTCAAATAGACAGAGGACCAAATTGTGCTAAAATTACAAAGTTAAGGACTTAATTGGTTGAAATTGAAAGTCGAGGACCAATTTGTGAATTTAGCTATAGTCGAGGGACCATTTTGGGTATTTACTCTAAAAACTTGTATGAGATGCTTGTACGTGAAATTAATTGGGTTAAGATTAAACGTTTATATAGGCCCAGTTTGGTAAATGGCGGTTAGCTGATTGAGTTAATTAGAGGGTATAACTAGTTGATAATATTAGTTGTAGAAAAGTGTTTGGTAAATTAGCGGTTAGCTAATAGCTGTTTGGTATAATTTCTTTTCTCAAAAAGTTAATTGAAAAAGTTACTAAGATAGCTTTTTTAATTTTAGCATTTTAGAGTTGCAAAAAATTAATTAGCCAAACACTTATATTGATATTTTAACTAAATTAAAAAATTAATAGTGGTCAAATAAGCCAAAATTGGCCTATAGACCAATTTTTTTACTAAACGGGGCCTATATCTACAAATCTACAGTCTACATACAAATATAAATATATATATATATATATATATATATATATATATATATATATATATATATATATTGGTTCCTGTGAGGTCAGGTCTTCCCGTGCGGTCAGTGCGGCATACACCATTAGGTATGCATAAATGCACCATACAGTGTTCAAAAATACACCAAAATAAAATGTCAAAAAATACACCACACGTAATGGTGTATTGGTGTATTTTCGAACACTGTATGGTGCATTTATGCATACCCAATGGTGTATGCCGCACTGACCACACGGGAATACCTGACCTCACAGGAACCTGACCCTATATATAGTGAAAGGTTCCAGTTCGGTTAGGTGCTTCTCGTGCGGTTGTGTGGTTAATTAATGTGCGTGAGCTTTGTACTTAATGTGCATGAGTCTTGTGCTTAATGTGCTTGAACTTTGTACTTAATGTGCGTGAGTGTGTGATGTCAATGTGCATGAGTTTTGTACTTAATGTGTCTGAGTCTTGTGTTTATTGTACCTGAGATTTGTACTTAATGTGCGTGAGTGTGTAATGTTAATGTGCTCCTGTACATATACGTCTTTGTCTTTGTCTTCTCTTCCTCTCTTTTCCCTTAATCCTCTCTTCCTCTCTCTCTGTTCTTCTTCATATACGTCTTCGTCTACGTCTTCTCTTCCTATTCCCTTAATCCTCTCATCCCCTCTCTCTGTTCTTCATCATATACGTCTTCGTTTCTCTTCATATTCCATTAATCCGCTCTTCCCCTCTCTCTGTTCTTCATCATATACGTCTTCATCTTCGTCTGACTTTTGTGTTTAATGTGTGTCAGTTTGTGGTCTAAATGTATTTTATTTATAGCTTCCTGTGTGATTGTGTTAAAAGTCACGCATATAAACCTCTCGCACATTAAGCACAATACTCATGCACATGTACAAAACTCACGCACATTAACATTACACACTCACGCATATTAAGTACAAATCTCAGGCACATTAAGCACAAGACTCACGCACATTAAGTATAAAACTCACACACATTAATCAACCGCACGGGAAGCCACAAATGCACTTAATCCCTTCCCTATATATATATATATATATATATATATATATATATATATATATATATATATATATATATATATATATATATATAGTAAGGTTCAAGTGCGGCGATGCCCTTAGGTGCGGTGGTGCAGCGTCACCAATAGTTCAACAAATATACACCATCAATGTTAGGAAAATGCACCACAAAACCACACATAAATTAGGTACGCATCACTAAAAATACACCATTAGGTGTGAGTAAAAACACCATACAGTGATCGGAAATACACCATTAGGGTGTGGTGAGCTATATGGTGTATTTTTTGGGTCTGTTGTGTAATTTTTGGTGTTTTTTTATACATTGTGATGTGTTTTCCTTACACTATTGGTGCATGTTGTTAACACTGTTGGTGTATTCTGAAATTCCGCCGCACAGCCCGCGCTGCCGCACCTAAGGGCATCGCCGCATTTGAACTTTTATATATATATATATATATATATGTATATGTATATGTATATGTATATGTATATGTATATGTATATGTATATGTATATGTATATGTATATGTGTGTGTGTGTGTAAATTAATCTTAAATAGCTCTGAAAAATATGAAAAAAAAAATAATAACAACTTCAACCATCATTGGTAATATGAGGAAGCAACTATTTGAAAACAAAGGTAAATTTTCATCGTTACTTACTTCTGTAATCCTGTATTTTTCTTTTTTTTTTTTTTTTTTTTTTTTTGAATTTTTACATTTTTCGTAATATATATGATATGAACTATTTTTGGAATTGAAAATAAACTAATTCATGGTAAATACTCTGTCTAATAGTAAATATTTGTAAAAGCTTAAACTAATTGTAATTAAGAGCAAAATAACTACAGCTAATGATTAGAAAATAAAGTCAAATATATGTTAAAAAAAAAAGTAAGATATAGTGATATACATAGTTTCAGATTTTGCCAGAGTTAAACAAATAGTTCAGTCAAATATGAGTACCTAATGTATTTGTAGACACGTCCATGTCCAACTCTCTGTTCCAGTCCATTACAAATCTGGTGATGCATGTTCCAAGTCGCACTTTACATCTGCGATTTGGGAATTTCTGAATCCCAAATGTAGTTAGAACAATAACATATAATCAAAAGAACCAGAGTTAGTTTCAAATTGCAGATTAAAACTTTAAGAAATTGAAATCCACGAATCGATAGAGAACAAATATATCAGATCTTATGGATATTGCTATCACTATTCATACATCAAAATCCCAGTGAATGTAGGTATATATACCCATATTATGCAAAACCGAATATTAATGTTAAGTAGTATCTGAATTCGTAGCAAGAACAACTAAGATATCAAAATAGAACTGATTCGAAGCACATTGAGGTACATAATTTTTTTTTTAAAAAAAAAATTGAATGAAAATACTTATCTAGATCAGAACCAATGGTTTCTTCCGATAATTCCGAGTGCATCGTGCAAAATAGCTCAACAAAGGCTTCGATAAACAGATTGTATGCATTTTTGGCAACTGAGTGTTAAATCTAGCTAAGAGAACGAGCGACAAATGCAATGAATTGGAAGTGGTGTGGAGTTTCCGGTTCGGGAGAGCCATATCTGATAAGTGTATCTCGACTATAGATTATGGGCTCAGCAAATTTGGCTGAGTAATATCTAAATAAACATGTTAGAGTTGGGCTTGCAGTTGGCCCTTTTCTAGATGTTTTTTTTTTTTTTTTGTTTTTGTTTTTTTTGAGATAACCCTTAGCTAGACTAAAACATTATGATATATATTTCTTTAATATATATATATATATATATATATATATATATATATATATATATATATATATAGGGTGGGCTTCAAGTGAGAACTCTTTGTTAGGTAAGAACATAAGAACTAATCCAAATCCTTGAATTTAACTCAATTAATGGCCTAGATTAAGTAATCACTTATAAGGACATCATTAACATAAATAATTAAAAAGGATACAAGTGTAATTTTGTCTACCCACCAATTATAAACTAATATTATTTTTGGATTGATTCCAAGATTGTAGGAAAAGAATATCACGAAGGAGTCCACTTGAACTGCAAGTCTGTGATCGCCCACCCCAAGATCCTTCCGACCACGTCTACGAACGGCGAGAGAGTGCATCTGTGGCCGTCAAAATCAAGCAACTATTGAAGATTGTTGAAGTAAATGGTGGCCAGTGTAGAGCATGAAGGTAAGCGCAATATTACAATTCTTATACGTGCTGGTATGTGAATTTAGAATTCATAAGAATTCGTAATGATGGGTTTTAGTAGAATTCAAAGGAATTCATAATGATGGGTTTTAGCATGAAATTAGATGAAATATTAATTTCCATTATGTTGTGTGCAAATACACGAGGAGTCGTGCTTCTTTATGTGCACCCAACTGGCTCCGCCATTTTTATAGACACAGACAAATAATGCTATAATGGCACACACTGCGACCCTGAAGTGCACATCCAGACCTGGGCAACTTTGGCTGTGATGAACGTGTGTGCACCTATGTGGTTTTAACCGTGCCAGACAGCTGTGCGAAACACAGTCGTCGTGCACATTGGTTATAATGTTAGTGCCACAGTGGTTAACTATATATTGAATTAATAATTTTTCAACATTCCACAGGTGAAGACGGCTCATTAGGGAGTTCAACCGGTTGTTTGATGAATATTTCTCCGGGTTGAACGAAGTACTGGACTCTAGAGTGTGAAGAGTCAAACAAGCCTTTCGTGGGTCAGCGGTTCAGAAACGCAATGGGGAATGTTCCAGCATGCACAGTTACCTGAGTGTGTTACTGCACTACAGTTTTTAACACAATCTTTATTATTCTTTTCGTGTATGAATAATTGGCTAACTTCATTATACAAGGACAAATACGTGTTGGGGTGAATTGTTGAAACACAAACGTCTGGAGATTGTGTGTTGCTAGAAGATACAGAAGAGGGGAGTGTGCACCTATAGGAATCTTAGTGTGCCGTAATATAAGATTTTTGAGTGGGCACACACAGAAGTCATTGGGTGCATGAGGACGTCTGACATAGGCGTGAGCACAAAGTTAATGGTGTTGGTGCACGTGTGAGCCCTACGACACCAAGTGACCATAGGCGGTGCAACTGTACAACTGTGACAATAGAGTGTGCATCAGAGTGGTACTGCAATATAGTTTTAAACAGATTATTTATTATTTTATTTGTGAATGATTTACAGACTAACAACTTGATTTAACAAAGACATATCCGAGTTCAAGTCTAATCTTGGAAAACAAAATTCTGTGTTTCTAGAAGATATAAAAAAAACAAGGTGTACACCTGGGTTGATATGAGCGTGGCATAATGTATAATTGCGCCCTGTGCACATACCGTACGCATCGAGGGCACGGGGATGCATGTCATTATCGTGAGCACATAGTTATTGGTCTGTGAGCACGTGCGCATGTTGAAATATATGACAGCTGCAAAAGCATAAAGGCCCCTAAACCTACAACCAAATGACCACATGTGTTGCCATTATGCACTAGTGAATAATAGTGTGTGCACGACGGCATTCCTACACTATAGTTTTAAACCATTATTTATTATTCAATTCATGTATGACTAATATACTAACAACATGACTTAACATAGTCACATACGGGTCGGGTCAACTCTAGAAAAACAAATTTCTCGACATTGTGTTTTTCCATAAAATATAGCACAAGGCAGTGTGCAGCTGGGGTGATCTGAGTGCGCCATCATGTATGGTTTAGGCGGGTGCACATACAGTAACTCTTGAATGCACAAAGACGTCTGACATCATCGTGAGCACATAGTTAATGGTACATGTGCATGTGCACGTGCTCATGTGTAATTATATGGCATCTAAGCAAGCATATAAGCCAAAACCATCCACCAAATGACCACAAGCACCTTTCATAAAGACAAAATGTGCCAAATCAAACAAAAGATTAGGTACGTAATATCATAAAAAACGTGATATTGTTGCAATAACATTGTCCTAAGTGTTACTTTCAATCTGTATTTCACATGATATGTTTTTTTTTTTGCCGTTCTTTTGCATGCCAATTTATTTCACGTGATATTGATTTATGCAAGTTGGTGTGCCCTTGGGTTGAACTCTGTGTGCCATAATGTGCAATAATACTGACATAATGAATTCACGGAAATCAAGTTGATGCGATGGATTATGATGTGCACTTGCGTTAAATTGTGTGTGTCATAATGTGCAGAATTAGTGTATATGAAAAGACGTAAAACAAGTTGGTGTGCACTTAGGTTAAACTCTGTGTGCCATAATGTGCAATAATACTATTAGTATGAATACACGAAAACCAGGTTGTTGTGTTAGATTATGGTGTGCACTTGGGTTAAACTGTGTGTGCCATAATGTGAGGAATGAGTGAGTGTATAAAAAGGCATAAAACAAGTTGGTGTGCATTTGGGTTGAATTGTGTGTGCTATATTGCTCAAAAAAATGGTATACGAAATAATGTGATGTGATAGACTAGGGTGTGCACTTGAGTTAACGAGTGTGTGCGAAAATGGTATACAAAATAAACTGGTATACGAAATAACATGAATTTACGATGTGCCAAACTGTATTTCAAAATGTGCACATATAAAACGATTGTCACATAATATGCCATAAATGCCGCATAAAGTATACAAAGTACACATCGCTACACTGAACGGAACGTGTGCATGCATGTACACATATATAACTGTGCATGCACCAATACCCCTAACCTCTATGTCAGTGCATGAACAATTTGATTTATTAGATTACAGTGTGCACTTGGGGAACACTGTGTGTGCCAAAATGTGCAATAATAATGAGTGTATGAACAAATGTACAACAAGTTGGTCTAATAGACTACGGTTTGCACTTGTATTGAACTGTATGCGTCATAATGTGCAATAATACTGCTAGTCTGCTAGTATGAATACACGTAAAACATGTTGTAATTTGTAATTAACCAGTGTATGAGTAGACGTAAAATAAGTTGGTGTGCACTTGGGTTGAACTGTGTGTGCCATAATGTGTAGTACTTCTGGCAATATGAATACACGAAAATCAGATTGTTGTGATATACTATGGTGTGCACTTAGGTATACGAGCGTATGCCATAAAGCTCAACAAAGAAAGATAAAACACCAAAGAAACATAAAACACCAAAGGATTAAATTTCAAATATCATAAATAGAATACAGAAGTTGTTCCTAAAATGAACTAAACAAAAGTAATATTGTTCAACTTGCTCAAAAGAGCACATGTCGCTAGCATTGTTCAACCGCGTCATGGTATTCAACTTGCACTACGGATGTTCTTTGAATAGTGTATGCTAAACCAAACCAACAAGATCTGCCGCATATATGTCATCCTCAACCGATCAAGAACCCTACTAACACTGCATACCAATTTGACCACACAACAAATTTTACACATTGCACAGTGTGAAGAGGAGACCATGTTGTCTACAAGTACTTAATTTCAATAGGAGTAATAATTAGCATGGAAAATCATATGATGACAGTCCAAGAATTACTATCTATCGTTATATACCAATTAGCATTCTTATTCAGTTGCTTATTCAGTACAGCACCCTTCCTTAACACTTTGCTCTGCACAAGAAAAATAATTGTTAAAACAATCTCCATGAATATAAGTACACGAATAAAAGAAAACGAAAGCAACTTTATATGGAGCTTACATCCGTTAGTGGAATAAACTGGATTCTAATGCTCTCAATCTCTCCAAACTTTGGGAATTCCTTGAATAATGTATTCTTCTTGATCTTCAGCGGCAGATTCCCGACAAAGACAATGACGAGGTGAGACGGAGTGCATTTTGTAGCCGGTTAACCACTGCCCACGCTCTCGGCTCTGCGTTTAGTTTCTTTCGTCCATCACTGACGGCCATCGGATTGAGAACTGAAGCAGCGAAGATGGAGATCAGCTACTCGCACAGGGACGGGAAGCGGATAAATGAGATAGACTCCAAATGGCGAAAACCAAGAAAGAATGAGAGATTCCTGCGAATTTCACGCACAAACCCTAGGATCAGCAGTTGAAAATCCAAAACTACCCCCTTTGCCAAAAATAATACACAAATAGCGAAAAATAAACATTAAATACTGTTATAAATATAGACCATTGATTAATCAAAATAAAAGGCTATGATGAGTTCCTAGGTTCCTACCTAAAGATTGGTTCCTTTATGAATGTAAATCTATATATATATATATATATATATATATATATATATATATATATATATATATATATATATATGCTTAGGTTCTCGTGAGATGACATCCTTAGGTGAAAAATGCGGTGAACTATAACAATGTGCACTAGAAGGTACAACAATGTGCTCGGGAAGAAGGGACGAAGTGCATTAAAAGGTAAAATTATGCACTGTAAGCCACAAAAATATGCAACAACTATTGAAACGATTAAATTTAATACATGATCTTCAATACAGTTTATAAAAGATCACAATATTCAACTAAAAATAGTAATTAGTGATTCATTGAAGATCAAATTCTCTTTATATATATATATATATATATATAGGTAGTCATGGTAGTCGTGATAGTAGTATCAGTAGTAGTAGTAGTCAGTGTTTTGTTGTAACTCTACCATCTACATGTGTATTTAATTTTTTACTCTTGTATACTTTCATCGTGAATGAAATACAAGTTATAATATGGTATCCGAGCCTAGTTTTTTTTTTCCTTCTCTCTACCATGGCTACTGGCTCTGCGGCTTCCAACAGATCTGTTGCGGTTTCCGAACGGACTGTTTCCGATGCTGCTGCCGCCTCTTCAGTGTCCGTTGCTACGAATTCCCTGTCTACGGTGCACCAGTTTGTTAGCATTAAATTGGCTTCTCGTAAATTTTTGTTTTGGAGAACGCAACTAGTACCATTTCTGCGAGGACAAAACTTGATGGGTTTTGTTGATGGTAGCTTGCCATGTCCATCGTCCAGTCTTCCTACTGCTTCTTTAGATGCTACGTCGTCGACGGTGTTCTTACAGAATCTGGCATTTGCTTCATGGGTGCAACAAGATCAAGCCATAATGTCGATGTTGATCTCTTCCTTTTCCAAAGAGGTGATGCACCTGGCAGTTGGTTGTCGAACATCTAAGGAGATATATGGGATTTTGTTGAACAAGCTATTAGGACTAGTATTAGGACTCTTTGTATTTGAGTCATAGTATGACTCCTTGTCCTAGTCTCCCTATGATTCATCTTGTATATAATCCCCATGTCTATACAGTTGTAACCTACAGTTTATCTAATACAGTTATACAGTTCTCATTTAGTATCAGTTAAGCTAGGGTTTTTCTCTTTATTCCCATGGCTAACGAATCCATTAACTCCTTCGAACGAACCGTTTCTGATACTGCTATCACGTCTTCCGCTAGCATGGCTGTTAATTCGCTTTTTACTGCTCACCACTTTATCAGTATTAAGCTTACCCACAAAAATTATCTATTTTGGAGGACTCAAGTGGTTCCGTTCCTGGACGGTCACAGCCTCATGCCGTTTGTCGATGGGAGCCATCCGTGTCCGGTCTCATTCTTCCCTGCCGCCGACGGCGTCTAACCCCGCCTACACGATGTGATTCCGTCATGACTGGGCTCTTATGTCTATGTTGATTTCTTATCTCTCTCTCTCTCTCTCTCTCTCTCTCTCTCTCTGAGGAAGTCATGCATCTTGCTGTTGGACGTCGTACGTCGCAAGAATTTTGGGAGTCAATCGAACAGTCTTTGGCTTCCGCATCTCATGCCCGGTCACTAAATCTCCTTGATTCATCTTGTATATATTTCACATGTCTATACAGTTGTAACCTACAGTTTATCTAATACAGTTATACAGTTCTCATCCAAGCGTTGGCTTCTTACTCTAGAGCTCGAGCACTGAACCTTCTTGGCCAGCTTCAGTCACTCCGGCAAGGTGATGCATCAGTAACGGATTACTTGAGGCGTGCCCAAGTTATTTTGGAAGACCTAGCCCTTGCTGACCAGCCGGTCTCCATTGATAAGCAAAACTTGTACCTTTTTCGTGGTCTACGGCAAGAATTCAGATCTCTCACGGCATCGCTCTCGGTTCGTGGTTCACTGGTGATGCTCCAGGAACTCGTCGACTTTTGCGGGGAATCATGAGTTTATCAGTGCTGAAGACTTCCATACGCCGACCGTGCCTAGAGGATCGTCGCCGACTGCTCTTTTGGCTCAGTGAGGTTCTGGCTCGTGATAAAACTCTAGAAATCGTCGTGGTGGTTCCTCGCGTGGGTAGCGTCGTGGTGGAGTCAACTGGCAGTTAGGTGGTTCACAACAAAATCGCGGACGTGGCAATAACTTTCAGCAGAATCGTGGAAGTGGCAGCACGGACGTGGCAGTAACTTTCAGCAGAATCGTGGAAGTGGTAGCTGGTAATCCAGTGGCGGTGGTGGCTGGCAGTCCAATAGCTCTCGGCCAAGTTGCCAGATTTGTGGTGTTCTTGGGTATACGACTCTCAATTGTTTTAAGAGGTATTCTGGTGGGCCTGGATTGCAGACTAACTTCGCTATTCAGGATTGTAACAACCCAAAATTTTATTTTATAAATCCAATTTTAGGAAATTCCAAAATACTCATTTTCACTCCATTAAAATTTTTTGCGATCAATTGGTGTTTGAATAAATTATTTTGGACTCATTTTAAATTAATTCAACACTAAAACTTATTTTATTTCAAAATCCTAAATTTTCGGGTACTTCGCATACCAAATTTTAAATCGAAAAAATCAATCTGAGTGAAACCGGGAGAATTTAAAGAAGCTTTAAACAAGTGTTTATCTAGAAAACTTTTTGAGAAAATTCATTTTCAACTCCAAAGTATTTAAAATAGCATTTATAGCCTTGAGTCCATGATGCTAGGTGAACCACACCACTCCAAGAAACTTTGCCTGAGAACATTTTCTAGCCAAACTTTTACCACTTTGCCCTCAACCAATCATTGGCCTTTTTACCTAGGGTTTTGCACCCTATATAAACAACATTATCCATTTGTTATTCCCTGATCTCCGTCCTTGCATCTCCCAAGCTCTTGTCTGATAGAAGAAAGAAGCATTATAGTGAGTTTTCAACATTCATTTTCTCCATTCATTTTTCCATCCTATCTTAAGGTTTCCTCTTCTCTTAGCCTTCAATCTCTGAGGTTTCTTAGTCTTGGCTTGCGTTTGTTGTTTGAGGTGTTTAGGTGGTGAAGGAGGTGGTGTTTGAGTAGAGAAGAGGTAGGGATCCATACAAGAAGAAGAGGCAACAAGAGGTATAACCCCATGGACTCCCTCTTTGATTTTGGCTCTGTGAAGCCTATTTTATTGAGTAGAAATGAGTAGAAATGGTGGAATTTTGTTGTGTTTAAGCTTGGAAGTGATCTAGTATTTGTCTTTGAAGTGTTGAGAATGTTTTGGACATGCTTGGAATGATTTTTGCAGGTGAAAACACCTATCTGGTGCACACTGTCAGAGCAGCGGCCCTAGCCGCAGCGCATCAGGAGGGCCACCGGCTAGAGCCGGGGCCAACCGGGCCTAGGGCACTGTAACACCCCCACTTTTCTAACTCTTAATTACATCTCTAATCAGTCATTAACGTGACTAGGCAGTGAAAAACTAGAAGATAATTAGTGGGAGTGTCACCGCCACAAACACCACTCTTTGGAGATTGCACAGGCTAATAGGGGTAAAACTAGAAATAAGATTAAGTCTGGGAACTAAATATAATACTGAAAAAGTAAGGGGGAAAAATATCACCCCGAAAGTCTACAACGTCATCAAATAGTATAAGGTCATAAGTCTAAACCCATAACATAATCATCAACCGATCTAGAGTTTAGATTTCTCTATCTACGAGACTAGTCTAACTCGACTTCTTCACACAGGCGGGCCCACCTGAAAGGGGTTTTGCAAGCAACACATAGACAAACAGGAAAAACACCCGTTAGCTCGAAGCTAAGTATAACCATACTCAATCCTGTAAAGCATTCTAACATATACTTGGAAAACATTTGATATCTTTATAGCAATAAGCTAATCTCAACTCATCTTTAGATTATCACATTCTTTCTAGATGCTTACACCCTATAATATCAACTGGCATGCTTATGTAAGTACAAGACTGTTCACATAGATTCAACAGCTTCTAAACTTCTCAGATAACTTAACAAGCAACTCATGCTTACGGATTGGATCATGTTAAAGGACCATACAATAGGTATTTACATGCTTTCACATTCTTACCACATAACTTGATAAGTAGAGCTTCTACTACAACACGATAATCATGCTCAAGGAATATCTCAAGTTAAACTTCTCATTAAACAATCTCTTACGATGCTCTATTCGCATACAATCACGCATAACATTATGATCATACTTCTTATGCAATCTAATGCAATAATATAATCATACTCTTATGCAATCTCGTGCAATTATATAATCATACTCATATGCAATCTCGTGCAACAATATACTCATACTCATATGCAATCTAGTGCCACAACTCGTATTCACATGCAATCTAGTGCAATAATATAATCATACTCTTATGCAATCTAATGCAATAATATAATCATACTCTTATGCAATCTAATGCAATAATATAATCATACTCATATGCAATCTGGTGCAACAACTCGTATTGACATGCAATCTAGTGCAATAATATAATCATACTCTTATGCAATCTAATGCAATAATATAATCATACTCTTATGCAATCTGGTGCAACAATATACTCATACTCATATGCAATCTAGTGCAATAATATACTCATACTCATATGCAATCTAGTACAATAATATACTCATACACTCATTTATAAATTAGAGTACTTTCTGTGGATGTCTCTTTTGTTACTTTCTCGAGTCTCTCTTGACTCTCTTTCTTTCTCTCGAGTCTTTATTGACTCTCATACTTGAGTCTCTATTGACTCTCTTTCTTGAGTCTCAGTTGACTCTCTTTATTTCTCTTACACTCGTAGACGACTTAGGGTTTCAAAGAAGTGTGACTTACCCCATCGGGAACGGCATAATTCCGACCTAATATCTCTTACCGTCTACGGAACCAATCTCGTGGTTCAAACTCTGTGGAATCAGGTATCGAACTATTAGTGTGCACACCCCCTAACCAGTATTCCAAGCCTGGCGGGAAGTTTCCAACCTCGTAACGTGGGAATACGCCGCGTTACATATACTGGACCGCAATGTCCATAAATATCTCCCGAGAGGAACATAGTCCAAACGATATCCTCCAATACCTCACCGATATAGATAATACATAAATATATCTCTCATGCATCAATCTCATGCATGCAACAATTCTACTACTTCTCAATGCATCAAAGAATGATATACCACATGCTTATGGTTTTTGAAAGTATTCTTGGACTCACGTTGGCCCCTTATGCATTTTTGAAATATGACCCATGTGAAATGTCAAAATGCTCTATAACATGCTTCTAAATCATGTATAAACTAACATGAAGTATTCAAGAATATATCATCATGCTCGGTTTGCAACATAGCAATTTCTATATAATTCCCTTAACAAATATGCTTCTATTCTCATTGATCAAATAACACAATTTAATCATGCTTTCATAATAAATCATATTCTCAAAGGATCATGCTTCTTTACTCAATAAAATATCATCATATCACAATAATCAAATAATTCTTCATACACAGTAAATTAGCAAATTATTCACTGTGTAGCAATTCTTCACAAATCCCTTCATAACATACTTGTTTTTAATCCAAATTCAACAAAATCAAAGCCAAAACGTGCGTCGAGATGATCCTGAAGAGCTGAGCCACAAGGGCCCGTAACACTCAGTCCAAAATGACACGTAGCTGAGCCACAAGGGGCCGGCCACTGCACAAAAACCCTTCACAGACTATACTCAGGGACTTGTGACGGGACTTTTCATGGTCCGCCCCTAGAGCCCCGTTGAAGTGCCGGGACTAGGCAACGGCCCTCCTCTAGGGCCGTGCCACCACGGCTCTAGCCGGCGGCCCTTCTGATGGGCCGCGGATAGGGCCGCCACTCTGATCTGGTGCACACTGTGTTGTGCACCAGATGTTATTTCTCCCGCAAAATCTCATCCAAACAAGTCCAAAACAATCTCAACAACTCACAAACACATACTAAATCACTTCCAGGCATGAACACATCAAAAACTCATAGTTTCTACTTATTTCTACTCGAAAACTTAGGGATTTTCAAATAGAATTCATGTCTTCGGTGTCGAATAAATTTTAAAGTTGCATTCTGTCTTTAAAAAATTAGGAATTACTCACAGCCAATCTTGTGCCTACACTCACGAACAAAATGGTTATGTAGAGCGTAAGCACATGCATATAGTTGAAACAGGTCTTACTCTTATGGCTCATGCGTCTGTTCCTTCTTTTTTTGGAATTTTGCTTTCGAATCTGTTGTATATCTTATCAATAGAATGCCTTCTCCAGGGACCAGTTCACGTGCGAAGACTCCCTTAGGTGAAAGATGGGGTGAAATCTAAGCCGTTGACTAATCTAGATCAACGGCTCAAATCAAGAAAAATTATTTTTTAAATAACGTGCTATCGGTCTTCCCATCTCTAAAGTACAACTTCAGTAGATGATAGTATGACTAGACATCATGTGTACAATATGGTGAATTTTCCATTTCTCTCAGATATTCTAAAGTTGTTTGTTCTTGAGAAGTTTGAGGAAGCGCTGCAGATTTCTGATAGGATGAAATTGGTTGGATACACTTTTCTATAATTCCATGATTCATACATTAGGTAGGGCTCACCAAATAAAAGAGGTTGAATATGTATTCAAAGTTAGAATGCAGATAAATGACGTCAAACCAAACACTTCAAGATATAAAACTACACACCTTAAGTTATAAAACCATGCACCTTAAGGTATAAAACAACGCACTTTAAGATGGAAAACAACGCACCTTAAAAGGAAATCCACACACCTAAACTTTAGACTGACGCACCTTAAGAATGAAAACAACGCACCTTAAGAAGGAAAACAACGCACATTAAGAAGGCAAACAACACACCTTAAGAAGGAAAACCATGCACCTAAAGCTTTAGACCGACGCACCTTAAGTTTCAACAACTGACGCAC